AATATATGATCATATAAATAACATATGAAAATAGGAGGATTTACGTCGTACCGAACGGACTACCTCAAAATCCTAAAAAAAGTTTAGGACTAATACAGTATAAAATAATTGTGCAAAGTCCTAAATATATAGTGAGGATTTATGTCGCACTAGGCAGACATCCTCGAAGTTCTATGGATTTATGGTATTTGATACTAAGCAAAGTTTTGTTGAAGTAGATCTGCTCAACGTCGAATCATGACCGCCGTCTTAAGTTCTCGTTCATCCGCTTGCAATTTGCACCGAGCTCCTTGCCGTGATGGTTATGGGTTTAAGGTTTATGTGTGAACATGCATTATTGTTGAGTCAAGGGCTTGTCGTAGGGTACCTCATAAACAAGTGTCTTATTGTTGTCTACCCTAGGGGTCTGTGCAAATATAACAAATCACGTGTAAGTTAAAGAACGATAAAAGTATTATGAAAGTAAAGTAAACATGCATACCTGTGATTCCTACCGATGTTGCAAAAAGGGTTAGTACCATGAGCATATTATAATATTATAAAGATTAAGCAAGTCGCGAGGGGATATGAACATGTTTATGTGTGAGAAAACCAGTTGTCATGTATATGAAAGATCAGAGCTGGCTATAAGTTCATATCAGACTCATAATTCTCAAGGGACCTCCATAGGCAACCATAAGCAATTGTGTGCTTTGTCCCCTCCAACATTGGGTAGAAGCTACCTACAGAACGATCAAAGGAGGGCAACTCCTGACCTAGTCAAAGTGATTAACAATTGGACTTGTAGAATGTAACATCCAAATTTCTTAATTTGCGAGGCATTAAATATTTAAACTTTTACTTAACAGCAAAAAATAGTATTGTCACGAGAAAATATTTTTTTGTTGGTATAATTTTGGCATGTATGGAGACTCTAAGTGATAGGTGAGCTAAGCATCATCAGCTTTTATGCGTGCGCGTGTGTGTGTCTACCTATTTATATATATACATATATATATATATATATATTGTAAATCAGGTAGTCCATCAGTTAATCACTTTGATCGGGCTAGAGCTACCAACAACCTAAGAAAGCAAGGGCAGCTTCTCACTAAGTGTTGGTGAATAATACCATCGGTCATGTACCCTTCTGAAGATCCTCGGGCTACGAGATGCTATTCTTTTATCCTATATTTAACACCAGAAGCATTTTGCATCATTAGCTTGCAGCCCGAACCATCTAACTTATAGTCCTGCTTGATGATCAATATACCGTTATATTTTAAATATCCTCAGTTGCCCACAAGGGTCTGAATACCATATCCAAGACTTATACCCTTGAGCATTGGGTTTTACTGTAGGATAATTTGTAATAGGGTATTTTTATTAACATGCAAAATTAAAGGTCCCAAATCATATAATGACGGATCCTTAAATTTTGTAGATGATTTTCCTCGAAAAATTATAACAAACTCGAATGTCCTCTAAAATGTATAAAATCTTGCAAAGGTGTTCAAAGAATGACCCCAAACAACCTTAGAATCTTCTAGACCATTTTAAGTTCATTTTAGCTTTGCTAATATTGCTGAGTTGATCATCCTAATTACATTAGAAGTCTTTTTGGCTGCAACTGTGCTCAGCGTAATCTTGATATCTTTGTTAGCCTATGAGTAAGGCAAATGATTGTTCACTTCATGTCATATTAAGAGTTGTATGAGTAACCATTCTTAGGGATATGTTGGACCATTAGGGAGTTTTACACCTTGCCCCTCAATTAGGTTTCAACTTGTAGTGTTTTAATGTGTTTTATTATTGCTCATATTCTTTTCTTTAACTATTCCTCGAATGATATTAGATTTAACGTAACTCACTACTAAGCTTATAAGGTGTGCTTAATCCTTATTGAATGAATTGGACTTTCTTTAATCACTAATAAAGAAGTTCAAATTAATAGCTTATTGATCTTCCAATTAATACCTCTTACTTTTGAATCATCCAAATTCTCATTTCTTCTCATTCACACCAATTCAAGTAATTACAATTTTGCCCTTTATAGAAAATAACATGAATGAGTTGCTACCCTAATTACCATTTGCATTTGAATCACTTCAGTGGGTTAATCATCATAATTTAAAGCCCTTCCCTCCGGTTTAATCCTAAAAATTAAGGATAAAGTGTAAAATATTCCAAAATTACAATCATACCCTTAGCGTTTACACTTCATAACTCTTTCATTTTAACCCAAACAATCATGAATCTTCGCTGACCTTTTACTCATAGACTAACTAAAACATCAGAGGAGAAATTATATTTTTCTGTTATTTATTTATTTATGATTATTTTTAATATATAATTATGAATTTTTAATGTTAATTAATTTAATTATCCAAAACATGTCCTCTGTCCGTAAGAAAACTTTATGTTGTTGCTGATGTTCGACTCGTTAAAATATAATACCATTGACTTTAGTTATAAATATAGGGTGGAGAGACTGGAAAGGCTCTCAACCAGATGGTGTCGGGACCCCAAGGAGGCATCCGATTTGATAAGGCGGAGCCCATGGAGGCCTCTACATGGTCTTTTGTGGTTGGGCTACCATTCTCTGAGGACCCAAAGATACTATTGATAAGACTAGTTCTTGAGGGTTTATGCTTGTAAAGACAGGCTGGATAACTCCGGTTGGTTGCTTTGGACTCAGACGCTTTGGCTCGAATGCCCGACCTGGTAGAGGGAAAGCTATCGGACTCATCCGCGGGAGTCGTGTGTTGGTGAAATTTTAGAAGAATGGTCGAATTATGTTTGTTTGGAGATTACCTTTCTTCCGGCCTATATGAGCCAACTAGCCAGGCGCAAGATTTCAGATCGTCCTTTGCGGGTCCAAGAATGCCTCGTAATCTCTTCTATCGGTCGTCAAATTTTTTTAAGATTCGTACTGACACATTTTTTATGTATTAAAATAGTATGTTTTTCAAACCAAGAGTAGTATTTTAACCAACCATTATCTTGATAAAGTGGTTTTGGTAAATGAATATGAGGGCTTATTTGCTGTACAATTTAGATTGTAATTGTATTTTTATTTAATAATTATGCCGCTAGAAATGCTTTGTTCTTGGTTTTTCTTGGAGCTAGAAGTTAGTTAGGGCCTAGGTTTGTAAGTTGAATTGGCTTGTGAACGGACTCAGCACAACTCTCGAACCAAGCTTATCAAGCAATAAGATTAAGCTCAAAGTTGATTTTGAATAATTAAGCTTCTCCATTTACCTCAAGCTCTAGTTGGAGTAAATCCAGCAAGAGGATGGTATCAACTTAAATCCACAATTCTCTCACACCACGAGATTCTTTCCATTTAAGTGCCTTCTATGTAGAATTCTAATCTTACTTTCCATCAGAGGCGAACCGAGAAAGGTCCCAAGGCTAAGGGTGTAAACTAATTGAACATGAGCGAGCTCAGGCTCAGCTCCTGTTCGACTCGTTAAAATAATACCACTGTTTGTGTTCAGCTTGTTTATATTTTGAAAAAAAAAATGAGTTCGTGTTCGGCTCATTGTGAGCCGAATACGAGATGTTCGTGAACAAATAGTTGTTTTGACAACCTTGGTCATGCAGTCGTAGAATGTTAAGAGTTGGGGCTAGATTTAAATCTTATTATTTATATTAAAATATTCATTTAAATATAATTCAATATATTTTTATCCTATTTTTTTGATTAATAATTTTAATTGATATATATATATTTCGAGCCAAAATGAGCCGAACACGAAGGAATAAATATTCGTTCGTGTTCGACTCGTTTATAAATCGAGTGCAAACAAAATTGTTCGTTTTCAACTCGTTAACTTAGTGAAAAATCAAACACGAGTTTCTGAATGAGACAAATATGAACTGTTCGCGAACAACAAGCCGTTTTGACAGCCCTGACTACGTGGGGGGCAATTGACCCACTCAAATTCAAATTTTTACTTATATGGGAGGACGATTTGGTCTTTTACTCATTTACTCCTCATGAAATATTAATTTTGCCCCTCATGAAATATCACTGTTCTTCATTGCCCTAATTCCCTGCCACCCTAAAAAAAGAGGCTCGTTCCGCCCTTACTTTCCTTTTCATTTAATGGCTAGAGGCCTTCGATCAATTGATGCCTTATACAACCAACTATATCTATGCTATGAACTCTCTCCACTCAATCTCTACAAGTAGCCTATATCCTCCTATAGTAAAGCCTTTCTAACTTTTGACTGCATTACAAAATCTTAAATCTCATTTTTTTACCCTTATTTTTATCTTGAATATATAAGCTGACAATCATAATGATTTCCCACAAGCTATTGTCTCAACTTTATTTATATGCAATTTTGAATTTAAGTATTATGATTTAGGGAGAAGACAAGCTTAAGTTATCTTTATGAACTTGACTTAAACAATCAAGTTCAAGTTTTAACTGAGTTGAGCATTTAGTAATCGAGCTAAGCTCAAGTTAGCTTTGACTCAAATCAACTCGGCTCTTTTACACCCGTAATGTCAGTTTCAACCTCTTTTACGAGCATAAAATTAATAACTCAACAAAAATTTAAGAAAATGATCACTATATCCTCATATTTGTAATGAATTTTTAAGACAAGAAATTTGAAAATAAAGTAAGTTTTAATTTTTTTATTAACTAACTTTTGAGTATTATATGTGTGATTACCCCAAAAATAAGGTGATATATGCACAACCACTCAAAAATAAGGTGATATATGCACAACCACTCATATGCATGTATACTTAGAAAATAAAAATAAGAAAAATTTTCCCAACCTATCCCTTTCCCTGCCAACACATCATATGTATAGAGACCCCTAAATCTGTTGTTTAGTTTATGGTATGAATAATGTATTTATGCTCTCCAAATTTAAATTATGGCCAGTTAAAGTAAACAAACTTTACTTTAAATAATTAAATTTAATTAAATTGATAAGTGCACATTTTATTCATGGTGTTACTTTAAATCAGCATTAAGACCTGGGATGATATATGCCCCGTTAACCTCCCTCCAGCAATAGGAGATGATGGGTAGGCTGATGGCGGCGTGGGGCGTGCGAGTCTGAAGAGAGGGGAGGAGAGGAATTGTTTTAGTGAAAGATCCTGCCCTTCTCAAACCCTAGAATCTCGAGTCCCCCAATCATCTTTGCCTCCAGAAATTATTATATACGCTTTCGTTCCGATTCGTTTACGTATTCTACCGTTTTTGTAGTTAGAATTAGAACTAATAGGATAAATCTCTGCCAAAAAGGGTTTTTTTTTTCTTCTATTTCTGTGATTTATTTGCCTTCTTCTTGCTTTTGAACTCCTTTTTGCCGTTTTAGCAGATCTGAATTTGTTCGGGGAAGTTTGATTCAGGAGTCGGTTCTAGGGTTCCTTTTTCCCCCATCTAGATCGTTTAGTTTATGCTTGTTTTTGTCGTTGCGCTCTTGAATGCTATTTTTGTTTCTTTATATTTTCCTGGATTGAAGGATTTGTGGTTGTAAGGGAAGTGGGATGGAAAACTTAGTGGAGTTTGATCGGGAGGGCGGGATTTCCGATAATATTCAGCGCGATGCAGAGCTTGAAGTGTTGGATGGTGGCGCGGGTAGGCCATCTATTTTTTTCGTCTTACTATTCTCTGTCGGTTTGCAGACCAATTCGAAAAGATCGAATTAATGCTGAATTCAATTACTAGATTTTTTTATTTATAATTTGTTTGAATGCATCACGAGAGGATGCTGAGAATTCTATGGCTTATTTTGAATATGCTTTTTAGGGTATGGATATTTTAGTTCTGAACGATGATTTCAGTATTGTTTTTTACTTATTTTTTGTATGGTCTGGTTGATGACCTTTATGTTTTGTTTTTTCAAGTTCAAGCATGTGCATTTATTTCATCAGTCCTTTTTTATTCTTATAATCATCTCGATTAGTCTTCAAATTTATTCTTATAAATAATTCTAAAGCACGATGTTTGTTTCAAAAGTAAACATTTTTTTTATTTATATTTTCATCATTTGCTGTTAATTTTCAGCTTCAACTTGAATATTTCTATCCATTGAATCTCCAGTAGAAATCATTCTGTACTTTAAATCATTCTAGTACTTTTCTTTCATGGAGTAAATCTAGGATTTTACTTTGCTTTTTTCTATTAGGTGATCCGAATTGTAGGATAAAGATGGATCATATTCGTTGGTTACTCAATACTATTTTACTTTATGAAATGCACCTGGTTCTTTTTATTTTTATTTTTATTTTTATGCTGCTTAGTCACCTAGTAAATGAATAGTCTTGTTTGAGTTTTTTATTATTTTGAGGCTGTCTTCTGTGCAGCAGGTGATGCTAGGTTTGATGCTACTCAGTATGAGTTCTTTGGTAACAGTTCTATGAATGAAGTGGAGCTTGGGGGCCTAGAAGATGATGGTGATGAATCTGGATTTGATGATTTTCATGATGGAGATTATGCGTTTCCAACTCATCAGTATAGATCAGAGGTGTATCTTTCTTTCATGCCACTGTCTCTTTTCTGTGAACCACAGTTTTAATTCAAGGATTATATTGTTGGAGTTCTGTCAAGCTTTTTTCAGCATTCTTCAATTTATTCATCATTGTTGCCTTTGATGAAAAACCAGCAATAACTAAAGTGTTTATATATTTTTTTATTTTAAAGTTTTTATGCAGTGACTATGACAATGCTACTTAACTAGCTGCTTTCTTTGTTGTTGGTCCTTGGCATTATCATTTTCAATTTTGCTCACTGTTACTATATTTACCATCCAAAAAAAGTTCATGCAATCTATTCAACTTTTAGCTCTGGCTTTGTTCAATGATGTATGTCATAGCTTTTGAATAACCTATTACCAGTCATTTATTTTTTTAATGATTAAAATTGCATTACATGGACGGTCAGTGACTCAATGTAAAGTATTTTTTCTTACATAGGCATTACTTCCGTTTTGAGGGGTATAGTTCAAGCTTGATTATTAATAAAACTAATCCTTTGAGGCTATTTTTGAACAATTTTTCATAGATTTATCTACTAAAAGAAATGAGAAACAAAATGCATTATGAAATGTAATTTTAAAAGAATAGAACATGTTGGAGGAATCTACTTCTAGTTCTTACATTTTATGAGATGCATTCATACAATTATTTTATAAATAAAGAATTGTTTCAGTTTAGTTCATAATTATTTTTAAATAGCCAAATAGCATTCAACTTACACATTTTATAGATATGGTGAATAAGACCAATCTTGCATAAGAAAAGTGGTCATTGGAATTCTAAATTGCCATTAATTTTGAATTGCTTCATTTTTTTAGAGTTGTCAGGTACTCGCCCATTTATTTGACCTGGTTTTCCTAGTTTTGAAGTAATGTGTATGTTTCATTGGATTTAATCTAAAGTTTTTTTTTTAAATAATGTCATCAAATTATATATTTATTATTGAAAAAAAATATCTGTTACTATTTTGAGGTCATTCTGGAATAAGGGAAGACTGAAAGGTTTTTCTTTGCTTTGCCTTAAACTGTACAAGGGTGAGATATCTGCTAGTGACTGATTACATTAGAAACTTTTTGTTAAATTTTTGTTATGAGAAGTTGTTTCAATCAATAATTGAAAAAATTTCAAAATAATTGGTGACAGCTTCTCATGTTTCTTATCCCTTTTATCACGATAGCCTTGTTTCTATAATGTGTTCTGTTGCAGTTGAATAGCTTATCAGTTGATACTTGTTTTGTTTTTGTTTTTACACTCTGACGTGCTATTATTTTGTTGTGCATGTAATGGTGATGAATCTTTTTTTTATCGTTGACGTGAATTTTTATGCTTGCAGGGTGAAGGCTTAGGTTATTCCTCTGAAATCAATGATCTTGCAAGCAGTTTCCTGCAGGTTAGTATTGTTATTATTGACGTTTGGTGCCTGTGCATCAGATGTTTATTTGGTTTGAAATATTCCAAGTAGAATGCTGTTTACCTTTATACTGAATGTCATATTTTTTACCATCTGATGCCAACTTAGCTTTAATCTCATAGTTGAAATAATTAAATTTTGATTTCTTTGTTTGCAATGAAATTTAGTTTTGTTTTTTATTCATGCCCAAATAACCAAAAGACTGAGGGATCTAACTTGAATTAGAACTTCAATGAAGTATGAGTATTTTAATGGCACCGAACTGTCTTCCGCAGGAACACCTAATCAAGTATAGGTTTTTAAGCTTCGTTGGGTAGGTTAAGTGTGATATGTTTGCCTGTTATACTTTGCATTTCAACGTTTTTGCTATGTTTCACAGCATCTTCAATTTTCGTTTCACATTTGTTTGTCATGTTATATTTGACTCAGTTGTGGTTATTGTAGTATACTGTTTGAAGGTGTGCCCTTCTTATTGAAAACTTAGGGGTCATGGTTTAAAAGTATGATTTTTTTTAATGAGAGCATGGTTCATTAAAAATTATTCATCTATTTAGTCTAAAATTCTCTGGCCTCCTTTCTATTATCCTGAACACTTCTATGTGTCACGCATCCGAACAAACAGCAATTTGATTTTTATGCTGCAAGTGTTGTGGTTCTTTTTCTTTTGAAATTGTCTGTTGGACAATGAGAATGAGAATAATGCTGCCAAGGTACCTAAAATCTCCATAACTATATCTTTTGAATCAATTTGATGGCATTTTGTATCTTCTAGATCTTGTGCTGAACAATTTTATTGTCCCTCTCTCACTTTGCATGGTCAAGTTATACTGTATGTGAAATGGACTATTCCCACGTCCCTTATGAGAGTATATATCTTACCGAAGTAATTTACATGGATAACAAGGCTGTTACTTGTTCAGTTACTGCTTGGTACAGCTAGTTGCCTTGGCTTCTGGTTTTGTTTGCCAGTTGGGCATTAATAATTGAAACATTATTCTCTTCTTATTGACATTGCTTACCTGACTCCCCATTAATGTCTGGGATAAACCTTTTTGATGCTTTGCATTGGTATCATGATTCACCTTGCTGCAAGGATCAGCTTAATGATATCACATTGATTCATATTTGTGGTAACAATTTTTGTTAATACGATTCTATTGTACACAGTTTTAGGAGAGCTGCGTTAATGATCTCTATTTATTTCGGCTATGAAAATTGTACTTTCATTGTTTTTTGGTGATTGCATTTATGTTTTAAGCTGATGTCACTAACAATTTTTGTTAATACAATTCTCTTGTACACAGTTTTAGGAGAGCTGCGTTAATGATCTCTATTTATTTCGGTTATGAAAATTGTACTTTCATTTTTTTTTGGTGATTGCATTTATGTTTTAAGCTGATGTCTTTGTTAGCTGGTCTGTTTTGCTATCTATACCATCACTCATTTGGAGTAGATGCTAAAATTGTGTTCTTTTTGCAGTTGAATACAGATATCACTCGAACAAGCAGCTCAGTAGTTTTGGGCGGGAGAGGATCACTCTCTAGAGAAAGTGAGATTTTATCACTGCTAGTTTTTTTTTTTTTTACTTCATGTTTATTTAACTTTTTGCATTCATTTTGTTTGGTGGTTGAATGCTGTCTAAAATGTTCAACATTTTTTTTTTGTTGAACCGGATGGTTCCATTTATGGTTTGGAACTTTGTGAATAACCACTTCATAATCTCTTCATGTTGAGTTTCACTGAAATCTATGAGGTAATATTAATGACAACAAACAAGATGACCTTTTATGATTAATGAGATGTTGATACACTTCAGTGAAGTTTCAATTACAAAATTTTTATTGTACTTCTTTGATTTGGGATGTTTTAGATATGATCCATACTCTATATATTTTATTCGATTTTTGGAATGCTTTATTGTTTTTGCTAAGGGAAGAGTGGAACTATTCTTTCAATTATAGGCAAGTCATCATGTTCTAGTGGTTGAGAGCTTTATCTTTCAACTAAGAGGTTCTGAGTTTAAGGCCATGCATATGCGGTGTGCGTGCGTTTGAGTGTATGGAAAAAAATTGTCATGATTTTCGTTGTCCACTGACAACAAGATTACATTCTAATGATTCAATTAATTTGACAGTAAAGTTTAGATTTAAAATATTTTATGATGATTTTCTTGACATATACTTGTGCTCCTATAACATTTTTTTGCATTAAGTCCCTTGTGTCTTCATCTGAAACTTGCCAGTTTGATGTGGGAGCTTCCCCGGATCGCGGGCACTGTAGCTGCTACAGTGTCATAGACATGTTATTGTAGCAGCTGCAGTAACCGCGGTCCAAACTTTCTCCCCCATTTTCTTTCCTTTTTCCTCCTAATATTTTTTTTCTTTTCTATGAAATCCTCTATTATAAATCATTGCCTATTATATTTCTTCTTTTTTTTTATTTCCTAATTGAAAGCATCGCCTTATATAAAATCCTAATCCCTCTTATATATATAAGGGCTATTTTTGCTCAAGAGGGTTTTTTTTTTATGATTGTTGATTTCAATTATTGCCCTTGAGGCACTCTTCCTCTCCAAGGGCTGTACTCGACTGCGAGGTGATGATAGTCTCCAAAGGTTCGCGTGGTGCTTTGGTTATAGCACGACCCTAACGGGACATTTTATCTTTCCGCAACCTTCCGACCCTCTTCCTGTTGCTGGTCGTCTTGTCCTACCACCTGCTGTCGATCTCCCTCCAGCCCTTCCAGAACCTGCCATAAGCCCACCCCATCAAGTCTTGACCGAAACCCTCCCAGGCCTTCCCCCATCCTACTGTAGCCATCTCCAACTCTTCCCAATGCTGCAGTAGTTCGTCCTAGGCAACCTAGCAGCTGCCGCAACACCTCCATCAGATTTACCTGCTACAACAACCCTTATTGGAGTCTGTGTTGTTGTTATTTCACATGTCTGTAATCCTTTCAATTTCAACATTAGTATTTCTTTTTCGTTCTAGTATAGGTTTCCTTCTGTATCATTTGGTATTATTAGAGCTAACCCTACCCTAATCCTATGCTAGGGTTCCCTTGCATCCATCTTTTCGTAAGACATCATCACCAAATTTTTTCTTCCTTAAAAGCTTTGACGGATGAAGTTGAAGCTCCCTCAACCCCTGTAGATTGACGCGGGAGCTTCCCCGGATTGTGGCATTATAGTTGCTACAGTGCCGCGTAGCAGCTACAGCTACTGCGGTCCAACCCTTCTCCCCCCATTTTCTTTCATTTTCCCTCATAATGTTTCTTTCCTTTCCCATGAAATCTCTTATTATAAATCCTTGCCTATTATATTGCTTCATTTTTTATTCTATTTCCTAATTGAAAGCATTGCCTAATGTAAGTCATAATCCCTCTTATATATAGGTGCTGCTTTTGCTTAGGAAAGTGAATTTTTTTTTATGATTGTTGATTTTATTTACTGCCATTGAGGTGTTCTTCCCCTCTGAGGGCTGTACTCGACGGCGAGAATGTGCTCCGGCTGTAACTCGTCTGAGGTGGTAACAGTCCGCAAGGATTCGGGTGGTGCTTTGGCTGTAGCTCGACTCTGACGAGACATTTTATCTTTCCGCAAATCTCTGGCCTTCTTCCTGCTGCTGGCCACCTCATCCTACCTCCTGCCAGCTTGCTGCCCTCATTGTCGTACTTCCTCCAGCTCTTTTAGAACCTGCCATAAGCCCTCCCAAGCTATCCATACCTGACTGCAACTCTCCTAGGCCTTCCCCCATTATGCTGTAGCCATCTCTAGCTCTTCCCAACGCTGCAGCAGACCGTCCCAAGCACTCCAGCAGCTGCCACAGCCCCTCCATCAGATCTACCTGCTACTGTCTTTATTGGAGTCCGTGGTGTGCCTTTATGTTTGTATTATTGTTTTGTTGTCATTATTTCATGTTTTCAAGGGTCTTGTCATTTCAACAATAATATTTGTTTTTCGTTCTGGTTTTGGTTTCCTCAGGCATCACAGCTTGGTAACTATGCCATCATTTTCATTGCGCTTTAATTGGACTGCATTATCCGTTTGATGTCATTGCAATATATGTTGTTTGTTAGGAACAGTTAGTTTTTTAAGATTTTCTTTGTCGGTTCATGCTTTCTATCAGCTTTATAGTTCGGCTAAATTTGAATGATTGCTTATGTTTAGCATTTTATGATAACTTATAGTTGGTTTTATAATGTTTATGATTCTATGTTGCATATGATCTTCAAATTTTCACTAAATTTAGGCATTTTTTTCTCTTTACATTAGAGTGATTGTACTGCAGATTTCCACTATTAGCACTAATAGTAGCTTGAACAGTTATTGGTGTACAATAGTGGGCTCAGTACATAACTGGTAATATGGCTTTTCAGAATATTTGTGATCACGCCTGTGCTGATATTGCACGTTTTTTATTAATACATTTAAAATTGTAATGACATGTGCCGAGTTTGAAAATAATTTTTTATTAAATTTCTATTCTATTGAGCAAATAAAGCTTATTGTGAAGCTGCTTGTGCTGGTGCCTTGCTTAATCGTTCATGCCTTTTATCTTTGTTTTTTCGAGGTTATTGGAGTATTCAAGTCTGCTTAAAGTTTATCGTTCATGCCAGTTATCTTTTTTTTTTGTTGTTATTGGAGTTTTTAATTCTGCTTAAAGTTTACTTTTTTTTTTTGGTGGTTTCAAGACGTGTTATTTTAATGGAGTTAGTTATTATTTATTTTTGATGTTTACTTTAGGCTTGAAAATTTTGTCTTTTCTTCACTTTATCGGCCTTTGAATTCTACTATGCCATATCGATAATCAAGTATCTATTGTTGTTTCTAAAGCTTGGCGTGAAGTGCTGCTGAGATTTTTGCTAGTGAAGAATGCCTTTCAGGGTTTCAATTTTTTGTCATCTCAAGAGACTTGAAAGCCTCCTATGGGGTTTTTAAGATTTGATAGACTTGGTTATCTATATAAGAGATTGTACTTATTTTTTTCTGCAGCACTAAGTTGTATTCTCTTTCTAGTATTGATACTTGGGAAATAAGCAGCCACGGCATGCTTAATACGGATATACAATTAAAATTTCCAGTCCTAAAATAAATTCCTACAGACCTTGGTTATAATTTGTTGTCAGAACTAGTTTCTCGGAACACAATTTTCATGGTTAAATTAAGGATTTTGAAGGATACTCTTAGTGATTCCATGGAGCCCGTGTTATGACTTTGACTAGAGATTGTATGTAAATGAAGAAGGTCTTCTCTATATGAATGAAAAGATAGCTAAGGAAATGGATGATCATGATGATGGAACAAACGACCTCAAGGATGGCTGCGATGCTCTTCTAGCAGAAGCAACAGCCTATTGTGTAAAACCCTTCAATCAGGAGTGAAGTCAAGAAGTTTACCTAAATGAGAGATCTTTCATTTAGGGTTGAAGCAAAACCTCAAGTAACCTTATTTCGTTGGAACAATTAAAGCCGAGGTAATGTATTATTGGCTTGAACTTCTTGAAACATATTTAATGGTTTTTGATTGTCCGAATAGAAAGAAAATTGCGTTTCCTCTTTTAAAGTTGTTCTCACATGTTTTAATATGGTGGAATTCAGTCTAAGTACTATGATTTCTCCACTTTGGCATCGCTAAAAGTTCAAAATATTTTAAGTAGAAGCTCAATTTGATAGAGAACTAAAGTGGAACCAAAACATTTTGAATTATGATACAAAAAAAGTGTACAACTTGGCAGTCATCCAACTGCTTTATAAAATTTGTTGAATAAATTTATATTTGTGAAATAGGTGATAGGTTTTCAAGGATTGAGGCCCTTCAAGCTAATACTAGATTGAAGTTCTTTTTTGAGTTGTTGATGCCCTTGAAGCTAACACAAGAGCTATAGCTTTTGAAAAAAAGTAGTAAGACTTTTTATGAGACAAAAATTTCAGCTTACTATTATAAACAAGGATAAGATTGAAAGTCTAGGCACAAAGGAGCTAGGCCTCGGATCACCATGTCATTATTACAAAATGTCAGTATGGAAGCTCAATGATTGCTAGAAATTGTATCTAGCAGATGTCAAATTTGATTAGCCAAAAAAAAAAGGATGCTTGCTTCTATTTATGTACTTAACACATAAGTGATAGAAGTAAAGCTTGCAATGTTCTTAATGTTGCTCGCAAATGGTGGTAAGGAAAGCTTGGAAACTTTTTTTTTTCCTTAAGCTTAAGTGAAAAATACTATTCTTGACACTATATTTTGAATCTATGCAGTGAAAATAATTTTTTTCTTTGGAACCTTGGTTGAGAGATTGGGGCTAACCGGAATATTTAAAATCCTAGTATTTGAGTTTGTTTGGAAAGACTAAAGATTATTAGGTCACTTGATGATGTACGTTTAGGTTTTCTTTCCTTAATTATTTTGTTGATGAAGGAATCTATGAAATTTATCATTGGTTGTATGTCATGTAACGGCGTGCAGTCCCTATTCATTAGAAAGGGGTACTGTCTTAGGGATGTTTTTTCTTTAGAAGACAAACGAAAAAAAAGGTTGTAAAGGAGGAGATG